AATTTTAATGCAATGTTCATCGAATCAGCTGAATACCAGTATACGGATACATCCTGTCTTTTTTTCTACCATTTGTTTACAACTTGAATAACCGAGAGAGACGTGTTTAACTGTGTCTTACGTTGTCACTGACTTAGACTTCTCTCCAAAATTAACCGGATCCACGCACGTACTACCTGAAGCTCTCCCAACGTTGATATTGTTGTTGTTTAAGCAGTCCTAGCTTCAAAGAGTGAATTCTAGACCATAGCTGTAGCTATCCATGGTTCTTTGGATTCTTGGTTTACGCTTGATAGCGCTACCAGTAGAGATCATTTATTGGAGAGAGTTTTTAGAGGTAAGCTCTTTTCATTTCAGTCCAAATAGATACAAACTAGTGTTGTTTTTTATTTACGTGGGATTGCGGATTCTCGAACTCGGCGTCGTTCGCGAGAAAAGATGTTCCGTGCTTTAAATTTCCCTCCTTACGCAAAAACATCATTTTAAACTTAAAATTGGATCATTAATAATTAATACCACTGATACTGAAATTCACTTCTTTGCTTTATGGGAAATCTAGTAGCGTCGAGTTAAACTAGGATTTCTTGTGTTAAACTCATAATATACTCTATGTGATGATTTGCTAAAGCGATTGTAGTTGAGTGAGCTCTACAACACAACATTGGCGTTGCTTGGATGCCACAGCACTAGRATGGCTTTTTTCACCATGAATGGTGCTATTTTACACGGTCTACTAGTATGAGTTTCTTAAAGAAATTTTTAAGCGGAATTTTTTCGGTTAGTATAACGTTTCAGTTGTCATCTCTTGCGTTTCTTTTGGGAATTAGAATTGATTCATCAGATGCCCACGTTTGACAAACGTTTTCTAACATAGATTTTGTTCTCTCCTTTACCGTCTAAACAACTAATATAGTTTTAAAGAGTTTTAAGTGTCAAGTTTATTTTATTTTCAAAAATTCTCTTCATAAGGTGCATGTTAGTAGAAAATTTATCCATTTATTAAACATTAAAATCAAAAGAACGATAAAAAGTCGCATTGGTGGTTGGTCTTTATTGCTCGATTCCTGTGCGAGTATTTATATATAAAAGTAGCATTATTTCAAAACCAAGAACATGTTTCCAAAAAATACAAAACAGATAGAAAACGAATACTACACGTATTTTGATTATTCATTTAACTGGATTTTGCCGATATCATGAAGGAACTGGTCATTTTTCAACACGGAAGATACATGTTTACACAGAAAAAAAGAAAACATCAAAACTCTCTTCATTAATCTTGTATAGTCTTAGTTTAGTTTTCAAAATCAAAAAACCTGACTTTTCTTGCTATAAATAACCACTTGAGAGCCTTGATTCTTGTGGCTATTAAAATTTATCTTGTGTGCTCGCCTAAACACTTAAACCTCGAAGGTGTTTAATCGAAAACCGTCATAAACTTGAACTTATTGTACATCTGTGCGATATTTAAGCTGAGTTTGTGTATCGAATATTATGATATAAATAATGACCCATCCAAACGTGACTGTCTAAGATACTTCCTTGAAGCCTTGTTATTTGAACACTTCTGACTACAGAGCTTTTATTCCATTAACCTGACGCCCGATCTTCCTAATGGCAAATTTATACGTCAAGACTGAATTGATAGTACGCTTCAAGGTCAGTAAGGTTATAAAGCTTCAGTTAAAAAAAAGAATTCAATGATTTGAAGACAGAAGAGAAAAATAGATTAATGCTTCATTGTTTCTTTTTGTTCAGTTGGAGGTTGTAGAAAATAAGTTTTAGATATAGGAAGTTCTAATAAGTGATAAAATTTATTTTCAAAAAGATTTCGAAAAATAAACAATATGTTAACTTATCTATAGTACTTTTATATAATAATAATAATAATAATAGTAATAATAATAATAATAATAACAATAATAATATTATAATAAT